ATAGATTAATTGCAAACAATTATAAAAGTGGAAAGTTAAACTTTTTTTTTTAATTGAATCATTTTAATGTTTGTCTTTTCAGGGTTTTGCGGTGGGAAACGGTCTCAGCAGCTTTGCACTCAATGACCAATCTTTGATCTACTTCGGCTATTATCATGGCCTGTTTGGAGAAGAGTAAGCAACTCATTCTACTTAGTTTTTAAGAAATTGTACAAAAGTATATGAACCTCAACTATTTTACCATGCAGAAGTTCAGGAACATATTTGTTTCATAATTGAATAAAAACAATCACTTCTATAATGTTAATAGAAAAATAAGCACTACTCTTCAGTTTGCTTTTTTAAATTGTCCTCCAATCTAATTGGCTAAAATCTGTACCAAATGTTTTAGTCTAAACAAATGACAATCTTGACAGTGGCTTCAAATGAGTATCAGGAGAAAATTTCTTTGTCTGAACTTTGGTCTTGTTTAGTTACTGGGTAAGTCATTTAGTCAAGCTTGTTTCTTTCCATTTGCCTGAAATCTGTTGCGCTGTTAAAATGACCTTGTGCAATTGTTCTCCCAGCTTTAAAATGTCTTCACTCCTGAGATATATTTTCATTGGTTTTTTTTTACAAGTTACAAATAGATTATTGCATTGGAATTGGAAAATTTCTTTATTTTGGGGGGGATAAAATGCATAATTGCAGAAATAATTATTTCCTATTCATTGAACTTGATCTAACTTAGACTTTGAAACGCATAAAAAAACACTCCTGTTCACTTTTTTTTTTCTTAAATGGCTGGTTTCTGTCATGTGACAGCAATTCTTTTGCAGATTGCTGATTGTTTGTGCTTCATGTGCAGTTTGTGGCGTGATCTGAACATAAACTGCTGCGATGAGAAAAGCTGTAACTTTTACAACAACACTAATGAGAAATGCGTGACTCTGGTACGTGCTGACCGTCCTGTGGGAACTTCCTCATTTTCTAAAAATGAAGTTTAACATTTCCCGTTTATTGTTCAGGTGAACGTGGCATTTTCTATCGTGTATGAAAGTGGACTCAACGTGTATGCCCTCTACCTGGACTGCGAGGGCCTAAGAGCGCGCCACAAAGGATACGAGCGAGCCATGAGTCATCTGTTCAGGAGCTACAGGAAAAACCTGTCCAGCTTCAAGGTGCTCTGCATTTCACTCGTCTGTGAATGCATCAGATCCTTTTTAATGTCATGCAACATTACATGACTATGTCGAATGCAGCTTCCAGATGTCAAGAAGTCCTCCATGTTTCTGGGGAACGTTCCTCCCTGCATCAACAGCACAGCTCAGGGAAACTGGCTGAACAGAGGCGACGTGAGGAAAGCGCTGCACATCCCAGACATTCTGCCACCCTGGGACATCTGCAGGTAGATCGACGCAAACGGGAACACAAGTTACCTTGTGTTTTATTTTAAAACTGCAGGTATTGCTTACCCTTTCAACTAAGATGTTTTATTATTTATAAGTGACAGGAATAATGGAACTTGAGCTGAAATGAATGATGAAATGATTGTCAACTAACTTAGTAATTGAGTATATAAACCATTTGGTGAAAGAACACATTAAGAGCAGTAAAGACAAAACTGCAAAAGGGGGAGGAAAAAAAATTTGTCTGAAAATGTGTTCTATCCAGAACTCAGTTTTAGCTTCACCTGGTTCAAAATCTTAAAGTCTCAGATTGAGCTCATTTTGCATAAAATAATTTTGGTTAGAAAATATGACTCTACATCACATTAGGTAGAAAAAGCTGGACTTTTCATATGTTGATGGTAGAAACACTTTTAGCTGAAGATGTGCTTGCTAAAGGAATGCTGTTGCCTTTCAGACAGTAATGCAGTTATTTTCTTTAAAAACATTTTACATGTTTATTTACTTCTGATTTTGCATAAAAAAGGTAAATGAGAAATCTGCAAACTGTGCCTTTATTCAAAGTAATCAATAGAATAATTTCTAAATCACTAGTTGCAGCACCAAGTGGAACTACTGTGAATCATTTTCAGAGTTTGTTTAAATGTCCTTGTTGCAGTGACCTCGTTGGACAACAATACATGATGTTGTACCCCACAATGAAGGAGGTTTACCTGAAGCTGCTCTCGCTGGGCCTGCGAGCGCTCGTCTACAACGGAGACACTGACATGGCCTGCAACTTCCTGGGAGACCAGTGGTTTGTGGAGGACCTCGGCATTAAGGTGCATTTTGAAAGTCTCTAAATGTACCAAAATATGCACACATTTTCTTGATTATAAAGAGAAAATGTATCTGGAGTTACTTGAGTAAATCTTTTTTTTTTTTTTCTCCTGTAGAGCTTTGGCACACCCTAGTGGTTGAATTGAGGTAGTTCACCTGTCAGGGAGACTTGATTTGCTTTTTTTTTTTCCTTCCACAGAGGGGGAAATTCGGGTAACATCAGATATGTAGTTCCAAAAATTGTAGAAAATGTATGGAGATGGTCAATCTTAAAGAGCAGCTATTGACTATGCCAGAGTGGTGTACAGTAATCATTAAAACACAAATTAAACGGGACAAAGTCAGACCTTTATGTAAACGCCAGCAAATAAAAATGAGCTTTAAATGTTTCTGACTCTGAAGATCTAATGTTGAAGGCCAAGTTGTTCCACAGATTCGGAGCAGTGGCAGCAAATGCCGGGTCTCTCCTTTGCTTCTAGTCTGGAAACATGTCAGCAGTTTATTTGATCAAAGCTTTCTGGGAATGGATGAAGAGCATCCTGGAGATAAGTCGGCACTAACCCATTTACAACTTTTAAAAAAGTTGTAAATTCAGTAAAAGAATTTTACAATCAGTCCGAGAAGCTCAGGTTCCAGCTAAGCTGCAGCATTTGGAGATGTTGTAAAGAATATTGGTCCATATAGTTGCAGTGATACAAGTGTGTTGTAATGAAAGCGTGGATAAGTTTGTTCTTTTTAAACGATTTAAACCAAACGAGTCCGGAGACGTTCTTCAGCCCGCAGCTTTAAGTTCTGCCTCTTCGCTGTGTTAAAATCTCTACAGGCAACCAGCAAGTACCAGGCCTGGATCCACAATGACCAGATTGCCGGTTTCCATCAGCAGTTTGGAAACCTCACTTTTCTGACCGTGAAGGTAAATGCTCACGTTTGCATGAAAACACGTCCTGATTCGGCGAGGGTCACAGATGTTGCATTTCCTGTGTTTCAGGGCGCCGGCCACATGGTTCCTCAGTGGGCGCCGGGTCAAGCTCTCCACATGTTTCAGTCCTTCATAGGAAACGGACCGTACTGAGTCTGTGGAGGCAACATGCGTTTGGCAACCTGTACTCCGTTTTTCATCTCAGGGAAAATCCATTTGCCGTGCCTAAAGACTGTGGAGGCAAACTGACGTGTTTGATATACGAGTGTTTTTTCTTGTGGTGGGTTCTTGCATATATGCCTGTGTGGGTTTTATTTCTTTCTTGGAAGAATGGAAATAAATTTGTAGTTTGTTTGATCACATTTGTTATGGCAGGACTGTGATGGTCCAGAGCAAAGCTACAAAGGGAAGATGTAATCCTCAACATGTAACTGAAAATAAATTGTATTCAAACTGAGCCTATTTCTGCTTTAAATGATTCATCTTAATGGGGAGCGGAAAGAAAACCAAATTTACCAACAACTTGGCATTGTAAGAATGAAGTCTACAGAAAAGTGAAGATGGTATATTTCAGTCCAAACTGGCGTCCAAATTAAATTTCAGCTAAATTAAAAGTCCTCAGGAGCCATAAATCCCACTCTGCTTAAAAAACAATTTTATTAATTCTCTGGGTTTTTATCTCCTCAGCAACAAATTAAACATAAAATATTTTAATAGAAAAAGCCATTTGTTTTGGGTCTAAAAGTTCTCAGACATTTGGCTTAAATCCAGGAAAAGTGTAGCACTAATGGGCACTTTTCAGTAAATGGTCATTGACTGTTTGGGACCCAACAATATTTAAAAAAAAGCTAAAAACACAACTAAGTCATGAACTGCAGTTAAAGGTCACACTTTGGTTGCTCTTGCTTTAAGGAAGTCAATTAATTGCACTAATTTAACACAATTTAAAGTTCTAATTCTTTGACTTTTAAAATGTATGAACTCTGGATTGACATTGCATGAGGGAAAATATTATTGCAATGACTAAGTTTTGCTATAAATCCTCATTGTCCTTTAAGATTTCTGTGAACCTTTTGCACCTGTCTCTCAGATCAAATCAAAAAGGGAAACTTACTTATAGACTCATTAAGTACAGTGATAGAAATTTCCTGTTCATGTAATTATGGTTTTCAGCAATAAACCCAAAAATTCAGGAAATGACTTGAGGCCTCATTTTTAAACAAATGCCTGCAAAATTATGGAAGACTGCTGACTTGACGGATGGCATCCACAAAAAGGAGCAATCAAGTCAATGGAAAACAGTGGAAAATACACACACAGTTTTTGTTGTAGACTGTGAAACAAAGTCCATTTGAAGTCGCAGGTTGACTCAGTACTTCCAGAGTCACCATGCAGATGAGGGACACAATGAAACAAATTACTGTCAGTGTGTAAATCTTAGCCTTATATAATATCCTGAAAAGCTGCTGGCTATATCTATACATTCAAATATCACTTTAACTGGAATAACTAGTTTATTGAAATACAGCTGCATTGTTGAGAATTTGACTTTTTGATATTAAAATGAACCATTTGGAATGGTATAACCAGCTACATTCACATTTTCACACTATTACTATAAATTGTGTGAAACTGAGGCTTTTAATCCTGCTGTATAAGCCATCAAGTTAAATTACTCCTTAAATGGAGAATGCTAAAGTACCAAAGCCAGCCCCTTTCTACATAACTGATTAAAATGTATGACACCAAATGGCTTAATGACAGTTATTTTGTACTTAAAACAGTTTTAATGTATTTTTTATTAAACATCTTTTTTCACATGCATTTAAATTAATTTCTTTGAAAGGTTTTCAAGTAATTCTAAATAAAAACAAGTCTGATTAGCACTTGATTAGTGTTGATTTGTCCTGTAATAAATCAGATGAAGCACAAAAAAATGCACTGGGGAATATGTAGATTTAAAAAAAAATCCCAAATGTTTAGGCACAAATTATATATATGAAAAAAAGATGGAAACAATGACAGTTTAAATAAATACAGCACAACTTTTTTGGCTTAGATTGCAGCAAAACAAATGCAATTTTTACAACAACAAAAAAAGTGTTTACCTTAATTTACAAATTACATCATTTTAGGAAAAGAAAAATAAAACTTCTTCAGAGCTGATACACTAGTCTTCCTAACATTTACTACATCTTCCTTTAAATGTAAAAGAAGAGCTGCAGTTATAAAGCACAGGCATCTGGACCATTTGGCGCCGGACGTTTGAAGTTTTCTTCCCTTGTTTATCCACAGTAAACATGATTTCCTGACACATTAAGTTAATTTCTTAAAACTGGCTCTTACAAGGGGTTTCCACCCCCAGTCCTCAGGGGCCAGTGTGTCACAAATGATTCAGTTGACCGATTCTGGACACCAGTGCAATCGTCTGGCCTGATGACAGAAGCTTCATTTGTTCCATGTCAGCTTAAGAGTCAAGTCCAAAGTAAACAACAACAAATCTAAATAAATACATGATTTACTCAGTTTAAAATGTACATTAGTCTCGCCCCCACAGTTCAACTTTGGCTGAGCGCTGAAGCAAAATGCTTCACCTTTTATCCACCTGCAGCACCTGGATTTGATGATGGTGGAGGATGGAGACATCGTCACGTTTTCAGTGATTAAAGGCGACATGCAGGGTAAAACTCACAAATTGGTACAATTTAATTAATAAATAAAAAAAATCAATTTGATTATAAAACCCCTCCAATCAAAGTCCTTCTGCTCTTGTAAACCAGACAGGCGTCATTCATGCAGAGTTGAGCGGCGGGAGGTAAAAAAAAAAAAATCAGTCTGATTCCTTCAGGAAGCAGATAATGGTAGAAAAAAAAAAGTTTTTAAATTTCACTGAGAAAAAAAAAAAAACTAAAGTCTGTCCATTGTGGTTCTCCAACCCAATTCGCGCCGGAGTAGCAGCACGGTTCTCGTTACGGAGGAAAGAGCTGGCTCTGCAGACAGGATCCTTCAGTTCACGACATCCTGGTAGATGGAGTTAGACGTGGTGAGGCCGAAGATGAAGGCCCCGAGCGTCACCATGGTAACGCCAAGGCCCACCAATAAATGCCAGCTGGAAAACATCAAAACACAAAGGCAGAGCTAATAAAATAACTAAAATCACATTTCAAAGCCGCTTTAACTGCATAAATATTGGTGTTGATTGTCTGTAAATTATAAAAAATAAATAAACATCATTAACAGTTACTAAGAGGTTTAAATCAAAAGGTGTAGAAGTCAAAGATATTTATTTGGACCACAAATTTCATTATATGGAAATATAAAATAATAATAAAATTAAATGTCAGTCTTCTGAATTATAAATGTATGACTATAAATGGTTTTAAGAGCTAAAAAGCCTTCGATATATTCAACTGTAGGTGGAAAAATACTGCAGAGTAACACACCAAAGCATACAGGTACAGATCAATCATTAGGATTACTTATTTATAATGCAGCTATACAAAATGTATTTAATTTTAATCACCGAAACAGTTAAAGAGCATGCATGAGTCCATTTTCCTACAACCAAGTATATATATATATATTTGTTTTACCCTTATATAAAAACAAATGTTTGCAGAAAATAAGCAGCCTCACCTTGTAGTTCGAATGTCTGTCTCTGAAAGTTTGGCCTGCATCAAACACAAACCTGTGAAGTTAAAGAGACATAATGAGACATTTATGCTCCACTTCGACCCGAACGTGAGCGCAGGACACGCAGCGTTACCTGGGAACACGAAGATGAAGCAGGCCGCCAGACCTCCGATCAGCGAGATGACGCGGCCGATGTCAGGGATGAAGAGAGCGAGGACGAGGGTGACGACGAACCACACCAGCGTCTGCAGGATCCTCCTCCTGCGCTCCCGGCGAACACACACCTCCACCTGCTCGCCTTGGAAACGCAGCCACAGGCCCTCCACCACCGCCCTGCAGGGGCGAGGCGTCGCAGGACAGAACAGGGTCAGGGTTTGTGATCGGGCCGAGTGATACATCAATTAATCTAATAAAATCAAGTTTTTTTTCCCCCATTGGGTTTCTATAACTCAGAGTGATGTCAGCACAACTAAACCATTTAATTTTCTATTTATTTATCTCAACTTTGAATTCAGGTCGAGTCTATGATGGGATATTAGAGCCAGGCTAAGTTTTTTGTTGTTTTAAATTACAAGAGCAAAAGCTACAATATTACAAGAATAAAGTTGTACAACAAAGTGTAAATAATTTGAGCGTAAATTCAGAACTTTACCAGAATAAAGTCGTAATATTAAAAGAATAAAGAAATAATTTTATGAGAACTTCTACTTAAAAAAAATAAATGAAATGAGGAATGTTGAGCATCTTGTAAAGTTGTAATTCAGTACCTTAACTCATCAGTATCAAATTATTTTCAGCAGCAGGACTTTGAAACGACTGAGAAAATGACTGAATCTATTTTGAAGAAAGAGCCGCAGGAACCGACGTCAGATCTCAATAACTCAAAAATCTCATTAAAAAGACTTTTATCTTTAATACTTTTCTGGCAAAACTGCATCTTCATCCTGCTAATATTATAGCTATGTTCTCAAGATTAAGCAAAGATTCTCGTAGCCTGGCATTAACACCGTTATTCAATTTACAGAAGAAATTATTCAAATGAAAACTGCTTTTTAAAAATATTTGTCTTTTGTATAAAAAATTAAAACAAAAAAAAATCTATTAAAATTAGATCTGCTATGAAATCAGATTTTGAATTGCAGGATAAATTTAGAAGACCCAGACTTAACTCTTCAGCAGAAGTAGAAACACTTTTACATACACCTGCACACAGAAATGTTCACTGCTACATCAACCAAAAGTTGGGCAGAAAGTTTCATCTTGACTGAACATTCAGCTGAAATGAGTCCTATAATAATTAAACCAAATCTACCGTTTGTGACTGGAGAGGATATGTGTTTATGTTAAAGATAATTATTTGACGTGGATCTAAATGAACTTTTTCTGCTGGTATTAACGTGGCATGCTGTGAAGTTAATGACGCTGGTTAAACTTCTTCCTCCCGACGTCCTTGGGCGTAAAACTGTACCAGTTATTCACTCTCTACAACACATTCCCATTTTTGTTGTTTTTTCTTCTTATGCAGAATCTGAAATTTAAACTCTGGGATGCAAAGAAAGGGAATTTTATCGATACGCCTGCCTATTTTATGTAACCTTAATAACAGGCAACCATCTTAAAAACGGCAGGTAAAAAAAAAAAAAACTCAGCTCTCAGTGATTTCTATGAATCGAATGAAAACAGTCAAAAGAAAAAAGCAGAAATCTGTAAAGTGGAGAAACTTCCTGTGAGTGATGCTCAGTTTCTTTATGTCAGCATAAAAAGCATAAATCAGATGATCAAATCAGACATTCGACTTCATAAACGCAGAAGCAAAAACTAAAAAAAAAAAAGAAGAAGAGAAGTGATCCCTTAGTAAAGATTTAAACATTTTAAGAACTCAGAAATGTCATTTTCAAATTAATGCAGGGGAAGTCAACTTGAGAAATATTCTGCAGGAGGAAATAAAAACAACAAATCAGACTTTATGGAGGGACCGTTTTATTGAGGTCGTCAAATAAAAAGGATCTGGATCTGCAATTAGCTGCAATAATCATATGTTTCAAAAACAATAAATCATGGCTGAGTCCAAATTCATGGGTTCTTCAAAGCCCATTACGTCACAGCAATGCAACGGAGGCTCCGACAAATTGATACTTTTACTAAATATCCACATTGGCTTTAAGATATCTGTGTTTAACCCCCAAAGTTGCCTTTCCATTGCATCTTACCTGCCACAGAAGTGTAGAATGGGGTAGGAAGTCACCACACAGATGACAATGAAAGCTCTGGCGAGGGCCACAGCGATGTCATCAGGCGGGTAAGACATCAACACGTCCTGATTCACATTGGAGCCAAAGGTCAGGAAGCCGCAGACGCCTGAACACAAACGAGTTGCACACCAAGAGCCAATGATAATTCAACAGAAAACGCATCAGAGAAACAATCCAAGGAAACCCACCCGTTCCTATGTAGACAAAAAGGCAGATTATCATGCTGCAAGTGACTACAAACCCCCACGGTTTGATCGCCTTCCTCTTCATGCTGTTAAACACCGGCACACAGCTGACATGGCACTGCAGGGAGAAGGGAGACACGTTTAACTCAAGTTACAAACATATTTTTATTTTAAAAACAAAAGTCTACATGAAATGAGGAGATACCTGGAAACCAAAGCATATGGTGGGCATTGCATTGAAAACAGCAGTCCAGGAAGCAGAACTGTAAACAACAACAACGACGACGATGGTTTAACAACGAGCAAAGAAAAATGAGGCGGACGCAGGCGAGTTGGGAAAAACTTTCATATTTTCAGGACTCACGTGGCTGTAGCGTGGTCTGGGTTCATGTCTTTGTCCGGCCAGATGTACTTCACAATAACCACAATGGTAACGTACCAGGTTCCCATCACACTCAGAGCACTACAACAGCAACAATCAAGCTGATCGTCACACAAGATAAATCCAGAGCGAGACACGGAGCAGATCCACTGTACCTGGCGTATTTCTGGAAGCTGATCTCTTTGGGGATGGACAGAGGCAGAATTACCAGGACTGCAGTGACGACGATGGTAAACTTCCTGTCTGTGTACCAGTGACCCTCGGGCGACCCGTCCGTTTCATGAGCAACAGCAGCGATCACTGCGACAAACACAAATGTTCCTAAAATGTTTATATTTTACCCTTAATTTAGTTTTCTTTTCAACAATTATTCAAACATGAGAAATGCTGAATCAGATCCCCAACTTACAGGAGGAAATGGAGACAGATCAACAAAAATCATGCATGACTTCAGACAGAAAACATTTCCGTCACCTCGACCAGACCAGGATTTCTGCTTTGTCAGCATCTCAGAGACACAATGTGTCACATGAGGCATTTACCGAGAGAAAAAGCTGAGCAGAGTCAAAATGAACGCTCTTTGCACCCGTCCTCAACATTCTGCATTTTCCATGTTACTGCTTAACCTGAGCATGTCAAAAATCTGTTCCAAAAAAAAAAAAAAAAAAAAAAAAATCTGAACTCAGAGAACCTAAAGTTCAGAGCCTCCAGTTATGAAGCCTTATTGATCAGAGACGACACTTACAACGATCCAGCTGGTCGCCGATGACGATAAAGAAAGCGATGCATGTCCCAAACGTGTAGATGGCGATGGCCATTTCACAGAGGACTCCTGTGACTTTCCCACAAGTGGCTCGAACAACTTCCTGATAGGTGGCTTCGTTGCTGACCTGCAGAAAGCAGACAGCCGATTTATAAACATGCATTGAATACATAAAAAACTGGATACAAAACACTTAATGAGTTGATGATAAAAACTTTTTATAGCCGATTCTTCCTGCTGAATTGTTGTGTGCTACAGATCCTGCAGGACTCAACTTAGTTTTTTGTTTGTGTTACATCTGAGCTGTACAGGAACAGAAAGTCTTCAATTGTTACAATTCTGCTTGTCGTGATCAGGAACAGAAAGACAACATGGAGACTTTATTGCCCAACAATGTTGCTTCCTGAAAAGATTTGAAGTCTCTGCTTTGGCCTGGCAAACTTTAACCTGTTTTATTAGGATTGGCTGTGATACACTGACACGGGGTAGAGTGTAGTTGGAGGGAAAATGAGGTTTTCCATTTATCTTTAAACCGGCACCGGCGTGTTAGACCATGAAGAACAAGGAACACACTGGTGAGGGATAAAACTGTTCAGCAATGATCAATCCAGAATCAGAAAATGTAAAGATTATGGCCAAACTAAAAATGTACCAACCAAGACAAGAGAAGCAGCAGAGATCCACAGATCAAGTGGGAGACATTAAGGCTTACACTTATGTGTCCTATTCAAAGAGGTTAGGTCTACAAAAATTTGACTTTACAATCATGCGCTGCTCTGTGGTAGTAAGGTGAAAAAGTATAA